TGAGAAAAAAGAACTTCTGTAATGGGTTTCAACTGTTAGTGACGGTTTACATTCGTCGTGGATTAATTTGGATGTGGGTGAACAAATATGATGCCAAAAGCTTAAGAACTAATTCTTGGAGACAAATCAAACATTAACCCAATTTTTGCATTTCTGGTGCCACCTATGTACTTACAGTGGTGATCGGTAATATTACTTTGACACGAGACTATTTTAAATTCTTGATCTTGCCTCTCAAAAACCAGTGTAGTGCAATCATTCGCTATCTGGCTCTCTCGTAAGCGTTCACTTCAAATTTTCTCAAGAAAAACCAAGTAAATGCAGCGGCAGCTAAGTTTTCAAAATGTTGAATTTCACAACCATAACACATGCAGCTACATCAAGCTTCTCTGAATCTCATCAATTTTGGCATCCAGGAAAAAAAAAAAACAATATGTTCTGTTATCCTCCTCTCCTATTTTTTTCTTTTCTGCTGGTCCAATATATCATCATTTAAGAAGAGATCTGGCGAGATGTTCTCGTGCAGTAGCGAGAGCTTGACTTATTGTCTGCAAAAAATAAAATAAAAATTGCAATCAGGAGTTAAGGGGCATATTGTAGTAGTTTTTTTGGTCATTTATCCAATTTTTTTCATCGAAAGGGTTACAGAGAACCCAAAAGATGCATACCTGCTCTGACAGAGGTGCTCCAGCATCCACACTGTTACTTGCAACTTTAGTTGCAATGCTATTTGCATCAGTTTCCAGAATAATTCTGTACAGAACAAGGAAAATTATATCTGGAGCAGCTAATGACAAATGGTAGCTAATTCTTTTATGCAGTGTCATTTTCTTAATCTTATTCTATTTTCTTCATTTCAACACCACGCGACTATGGGAATGGACAGCAGGTATAGTGCTAATATCTGCAGGCGAATGGTGTCGCTAAAACTTATAGCATGTTTGGCTGAGCTTAAAAGTAAGTTTCACCGGCTTTTATATAACTTTTTGTTTCCAAATATGTTTGGACATGTTTGTATTGTAGAGCTTACTTTCTAAATAAGTAATTCGTCCTATTTCCAATTTTGACTATTAAAAGATTTTATATCTTAAACTAAATTGTAAAAGAAAAATATAAGCTTAGTCAAAAATGCACTTAATAAAGCACTTCCACGAAATTCTAGCCATGACAGCACACGTTCATGTACTTATTTTTTGAAGCTCACACATTCATGTACTTGTGCATACAAGAGGAAGCATTTTCTGTAATTCATCACAGTAAGCATTGGCAAGTCACAACAACAGCAAACTAATTAGAAGGCAAATGGACCAGAAGTATAATTATAATACTTACCCGCAGTCAACAATTTCATCAATGCACAAAAGAATGAGATCCAGATTTTCAAGTGCCTCCCTCTTATCCACGTTGCCCCTGGAATAAAGAGCCGATAAAATGAAATGAAGTAGGTAGTTCACAATAGTTTAGAATATGAAAAGTAAATTATCATCCCAAACATTTAAGTGTGAACTACCTAAGTAGGATACCAACAGCATCAAAGAATCCCTGAAGAACAGCGGCTAAGATGATCTCATTTTCATCTTCACCACCAGTAACATAAAAATAAAGGTCTTGAACAAACTTGTAAACCACGATGTTGTTCTCAAACATAGTTATCTCCGCTGTAGATGAAGTAACAAGAAGTTAGTTAGAAACAACTGGAGAACCAGATACAAACTGCCTTTACAGTTCTAATATAGTGATTGCCAAATAAGAAAGGTTAAAGTTTTGCACATTCACCACTCAGCAGCCCAGATAGTGTGGTGGTCCAAATGTGATATATGCAACACAGAAGAATGTGAAATAATATCCCAGTACTCTGGTTTTGAGATCATTGAAAATATGTAAAATTACCAAGCCTCAGAATCCTTTCTTCGAACAATTAGACAGTCTTCCTACCTACAGTTTGGAAGGGGTCAAAAACCTTTCCTTAAAGATTACACAGTCATTTTCTTTAACCAATTCACAGAAAGCGCGTTTCCTAAAACAATACAACATAAATATATAATCAGTTCATTTTAATTAGTCAGCTTTAATTGGGCACATATTTCTTTTCCAAAGCTCTGAAGGGAAAAGAAACCAATGATGCGTTAACTATCAATCTACTAACTCTAGGTTCGAACCACGAGAAACAAGTAAAAAGCAACTGCTAAAATTTTTAGCATAACTCTAAATTGGCAGTTTCCTCCCCCGTCACCACTCAAAAGCCCACCAAAGATAACAGATTGGTGAATTAAGCTTAAGAATTGTTCGATGTGGAAACCACTATCACAGCTTAAAACAGCAGAAAACACGAAGAACCAAACTAGCCAAACCAAAAAATCCCTCCATCTCGTGTCCTTAGTCACACCATCTCTTGGCACAGAGACATTCACCTTCATGTTTGACGCCTCACATACACGATGTCAACTCTCAAATCCATTCTCTACTACTTATACATATTTTAAAATGATTTTGAATACATGAACGTCATTTTTTCTTATAATATCATATTTACAAAAGTGAGAATGTTTGGAGGAAAAGCTTAGTTTGTTGGTAATTTGTTGAGAAATTTTGCAATCAGACAGAATATTTTTCTGCTTTGAGTGGTGATATTCTTTATGAGATCAAATTTTTTTAGAGAAGGTACATGATGTTCCAAAGCAAGGATGGATGCACAGAAAAGATGAAGGGGTTGACAAATATGTTAAATGATATTAACTACCAGTACTTAAAACTATATTAAGTATACAGATTAAGCCAACAAATTTTTTTAAAAGAATTTAAAAGTCAACTAGCACCTTCTGTCCGAGCATTTGTCTTCTGAGTCTTGTTAAATACAGCCTTCTCAAAAGCTTCCTTTGCATTATTTGTCGGCCAGTCATCAGAATAGTATTTGACAGCAATACGTTTTCCTTCTGAATCTAGAAGAAGAATGTTCTTAACGGAAGGGCAGGACTCCTGTCAACAAGACGTCACTTAATATGAGCCGACATACCTAGGAATAAATATTCTTATTTTTAGACAGTTTTCGGAAGCAAGAATGTACTATTTTCTGTTGCATGTGAAGCTCACCACAACTCTTAAGAAAAAAAGATTGGTCTAAACGGAACAGAAATCAACGTCAATGATGACAAGCTGGGGGCAATGTCATCTTTGATTTTAAGTTGCACGGATATTGTTTGAGAAAATCATGGTTGCACAATTCATAACATTTACTGAGAAATCCAACATCAATGAGGTAACAGGAGGATTGCATAAAGTTTCATGAAATGGATTGCACACTAGTTAACATTCATGTGAAGAGTTGCAAAAGAATTCTTCCCTTTCATAGCAACAATAGCCACGAAGCATGAAGAATTCAAATTTCCAAGCAAACTGTGAAATACTTCTTGTAGTCAAATATCATCCCGTAGCATTTCATATTCATGAAATCCCATATGTTTCAAGGGAGATCTTTCATAGAAGATAATTTGCCAAACTTTTTCAACGAAAATCGGAAAGAGGACTCCGGAGTTATCAGAATTTCATATAGAAGAAAATTATTTTCCAAATTTTGTCGTGCGATTGCAATAGTAAAGGGTCAGGAAAAAAAATCTTAAGCCCTAAATGGCACAGTTTATAGAGCTCTAACACTAACATAAATTTGCTACCGCCAATTGTAAATGCAATCAGTAAATGTCAGATCAGAGGCACAGATCT